AGATCCTCCCAGGGGTCTGGGATGTCACCCCAACAGGGTTTAGGATTTAGGGCTGAGGGTTCGGATTTAGTGCTTAGGGCGTAGGATTGATAGCAACAAGTCAGATGAGCGCGCCGCACAGTCGGTCCAGCACACTTTGGCCTTGCAAGAGTCAACATGTTGTCTAGTCTGGAGTATGCCCAGCCAAATTTGGCAGAGTGGGCAGTCCCTATTTACAAAAAGGGCGACCCCAACATAGACCCAACAATAATTATGTCAATCCTAATGAAAAACGTACACCTAACTTTTTTGGAAACCCTGAACGCTATAGATCCCTATATACCCCTGTATTACAACCCCGATATCCCCCTTTAAAGGTACCCGAATTTGGGGAACCCCATTTCCTGGACCCTAAACCTTTTTTTTTTGAGCTGAGGCCCGCACGACAGCGATTAGCTCAGCCAGCACACGAGCTCCGCTCTGTATGCCACACAAAGGAAGCACCCTAAACCCTAAACCCTTAACCCTAAACTTAGGCCAGGACTGGTAGAACAGCATGAGGATTTCGCTGCGGAAGTTCCCAATGCTGCCAGCATCTACATTCCCCACCTGCTTTGTTTAGAGTTGAAGGTTTGGGAGTAGGGTTTAGGGTTTAGGATTTAGGGTTTAGGGCTTAGGGTTTAGGATTTAGGGTTGTCTAGGGATCAGGGTTTAGGGTTCAGGATTTAGGGTTTAGCGAGTAGGGTTTGGGGTTTAGGGCAGGAATGCCGACAAGAATGTATCAAAGCGTGGCACAGGCACCTGCTGCACAGCCAGAACTTCGCTGACTTCAACGTCAGCAAACTTCCCCTCGAGGAGCCCAGGAGCTCGGGGCTCAGAGCGGTTTAGAGTTTAGGGTCTACTGGTAATAGTAATAGATAAAGCAATAGTAACAGTAATAATAATCAGCAAAAGTAATAGTTAGTAATAGTTAGTAATAGTCGTAAGCAATAATAATAGTACTTATAATATCTACTAGTCGTATTAGTAATGGATAGGAGTAAAAATGATATGATAGGAACAGAAATAAAGACAACAATCATGAATTCTGGGATCCCACCCAATCCTCTAGTCCCCTTTTAACCCCCATATCTCTAGGATTTGTTGCGGGCAAGGGTACCCACATTTTGAAAAAACACCAGTGGGGCAAGCCTCTGACCTCATCCACTGCCATGAGCAAAGTAATGCATCCTTCGAGCGTGGTGATTGAAAGCTTCGACCGTGAGGCCCCGGCAGCAAAAGCCGCAGGCTCGTAACAAAGCGCAAACTGCATCACCTACGTCGGAAGCACACTTAAGAGAAAAACAACAGCCTGGCAGCCACACCTCTTTGTAGGGCCGCCATCCCAGCACCGGGACCTGAATGGAGGCAATAACTAGGGTTTAGGGTTTAGCTCTCTCTCTTACGTGCTCAGGCGGACCTGTCAAAGTCTCAACCCTAGATCCATAGGTCGTGTTTAGGGTCATGCGCACGGACGCACGCAACACCTGCTCAGTGCTACGCCCATTCCCCCGGGACTGCCTTGTGCAAACCCCCAAAAACGCAGAAATACCTGTATACTTTGAGGCTGAATTTCAGAAAGCCTCCCACATCGGGCTGTCAGCTTCAAAGCTTCCAGCGCGGACGGAACACTGGAGCTCAGCAGATGCCTGCCACGGCTTTTCCTCACCTCATGCATGGGGTCAAGAGGTTTACATAAGGTTATATGAGGAATATGGCCGCATGTAGAACTATTTAGAGGCATACAAGGGTTATTGGGTTATATGAGCCATTTTCTAAACTCCTAGCATCCCCCTTAATATCCCCTTATAGTAGTCCCTTATATAATCCCCTATATGTCCCCCTTTAAGGAGTTTAGACTATAGTACATATGAAGGTATAAGGGATCACACCGCTTTTCCTCACCTCATGCGATTTAGGCTTTAGGTTTGGCGGTTCAGGGTTTAGGGTTTAGGGGATTAGGGTTTAGGGTTTAGGGCTCAGACGTTGGCTTAGGGTTTAGGCTTTAGATTTTAAGGGATATACAAGACAAACATCGAGAATCTGATGGTAGAGCAAATGCAGAATGAAAAAACTGCTAAGAACTACAATTTAGGGTTGAGGACTCAGCTTTTGGAAAACAAATGCAGAATGAACAAACTGCTAAGAACCACCATTTCGGGTTGAGGACTCAGGGTTGAAGGGCTTATAAAAGTTCAGGGTTTGGGGCCCTTTAGGGTTTGGAGTTCAGGGTAGTGTTCAGATCTTAGCTCACCTTGTAACAGCCCGAAGAAATACACCTGCATCCTCCGCAAGAGTTTTACCCATGACTGTTTTCGGGTTTTGTAATCCTGTGACTCAAGCATCTCATTGATCTGCAGGGTCATTTTTTGGTGGCTGAAATCAGCTTACAAACTCCCACAACCAAACAAGCACGTAAGCCTGATCCCTTTCCCCTACTGTTAAACAGATCCCAACCCAAACATGGGTATGTTAGGCCTCTTAATTTTTTGTTTAAGATGTTTGGGGGTGGCCGGTTTTGAACCGAACGGATTATTCTAAATTCCTGGGGCTAGCGGCGCTCCAGTACATGGACCACCATAAATTGCGACCTTCTTAGGGATGTTTTTGGGAATGATGGGGCTTACTGAGGCCTGCTTCGGCGTATTAGTCTTCATTAGTTTTGGGTGTGCATTTCTCGGGATATACATGGAACCTACCATCATCCCACTACTAGTGAGTGTGGAGGACCACCTGAGGGCCTGAGCTTTTCCTTGCCACCCCCTGAGCCCCAGGCTGATCTCAGGGCTAGACCTCAGGGTGGCAGCTGCGGAGCTCCCACTCCCTCCCCCTACTCACCAAACCCTCCACTCCCCTGAGTCCCAGTATTCCCACTTTAGTATTGCTGTTAAGGAACTTAGTTTAACCATAATGGGTATATATAGTAAATAATAGGGTTTCCCCAATATAGTAGCTTAATTACCAACATGTTTTTCGGTGAATTTCTGTTACGTACCAGGGGGGAAACATTATTTGGGGAAGGTGATGAGCCAGAAAAGCATGGCAGGTATTGCTGAAAATAAGCCGCCGACCAGCGCACGTCGCGGCCTAGCAGCAGGAGCCATATTCTAAGGTTGGGCCCCTAATATGGAGGACTCTAGGGACCCTGAAGAGTACATATAGGGTATATAGTAGGTATATATCGATATGAGGGGTGGCCGAGATGGTGGTACCTTCTTGGCCGGTTCTTGGCAATACGGTGAAGGTGTGCTTCATAGCATGCTGGTCTTTGCTTCGTGCATTTCAAGAACAGCGCCCTGACATGCCCCATTCTCATCAGATCCTCGCTCAAAAATGACGCAGACCCCTTGATACTCCTGTCAGGAACCCTAAACGCCCTAAACCCTCCATCTTCATACACCTCTCAGCTGCGCCCGGGAAGTGGTGGATTGAGGTCCGTGCCTTGTCTGCGCACCTGGAAAGGGATTAGGGTCTAGGGTTTAGGAGGTTGCTAGAAGAGCCGACTGGGCCCCTGATTCGTTCAGCCTGTGTCCCCTGAGTAAAATGAACGGAGGGGATCTTCCGAACACATCTTTCGGTAGGTAGAGTATAGAGATCTCAGGGGAAGTGTTGAGTAAATCGAATATGAAGGAGCTAGGGCATATCTTATTCAAGTTTGTTGACCCCATTCCGTCTACAGAACCACAACCAGTCCCTACACAGCCTATGGAAAGGTTCGTGGAACTTAGTAAGTACTCAGAACTAGGCTTGTCATCCTGTCTAGGACTCGCCTAACCAGACTTGTGTAGGCTACACCCACAATACGCGGGGGCATAACCCCCTTAGAATGTGGCGACAAAGTCAGTCCCGTGAACCTACCCTATACCCCATTTTTTTTGCAAAGCGACCCACAAGAGCCCCGTTCACGCCTGGTAGCTCTGCATGAAACTGCTCGTAGGACCCCAAAGACGATGGAAGACCTGGAGTTTGGGGCTTGGCGTTTTAGGGGTTTAGGTTGGATACTGCCCGCGACCCAATATCAGTCTGCAATAGGGTTAATAGTACAGAGGCTATAACGAACGATAGAATGACACTGATATCGAACTGTTACTGGGTGAGGGCAAAACTCAACATTTAGGTTTAGGGCTCAGCGGAAGTGAGGTGATGTTAATCCGGAAAATAAATGAAAGAGATTCAACTGAAAAAAAAGATATGGAAACTGAAATGAAAACTGGATGTGTATGGAGATTTGAAATGCGTTGGACTTAGGGAATTGTTTTTCAAACCATGGGATTTGGGTGAGGTTAACCACACGATGGCAATGGACGCGACCAACGCACCGTTCGAAATGTTCAGGAATCTTGGAAGCTGGCTTGGGCACCTGTAAGTCCTCCTTTCTACGGTTCACGGTTGCCACCTTCCGGAGCTGCAGACCATTAACCCAAAGACAACTGCCCTAAATCTTGGTAAACCCCCTGGCAACTACGATAACTCCCATGTGATCGCGGTTCTCGGTTCGCCCAACCAGCCTCATAGTATCCTCCCCACCGCCGGTATGCTTCAAAAGTGTCAACAGTCACTAGGATGGGGTTTCTCGGGGTCGCCATCCTCGTAGCTGTCGTCGTTTGTGCCGCCTCACAACCTCCATCCTCGTAACTGTGGTCACTTTTGGCCCCTCATGCTTTAACCGCATTTCCAAAGTATCAACAGGCACGGGAATCGAAGTGGTCCTCAATCCATCCTCGCAATTGCCGTCGCTTTTAAACCTTCATTATAGGGGGATCGGGGTGGTCCTCTCTTACACAAACCTGCCTTTCAACTATTACAGTCTGCAATCCTTTTTGACATCTTCTATGAACTTAGATAAGCCCTCTATAAGCACTATAAACTCTCTATACACCGTCTGTACACCCTCCATAAACCACAAGACGGGCAATTTAATAGGTTATGGACCCTCTACAAAAACTGCAAATGCAAACCTTGCATAAGCCTAATGTAAACCACGAGCCACAGGACCACAAGAGTGGGGCGTGGGTTATAGTTTGCTCCTAACTTAGGGGCGAGGTTTGGATAGGGTGGTTGCTTGAGTTTTGGGCGTGGATTTCGGTGTGCAGGCTGGTTGTTAGGGTTCTTGTAATGGATTATAGGTAGCGATAGAAAAGTTGAGGTCGGGGGTGGGGTAAGCAGTTCATACTTTGGGGCGAGGTAGGGGCTGTATAGCAACCGCGTCAAAGCCTCTCCCCCTCAGTTACAATCAACAACATCATCCGCACATATGCCTTATGCAGCAAAGTATAAAAGACCCCACAACTCAAATCAAAAGTGTTTGGGCCCTAGATGACCAACCCTAAACCCTTAGCAGTCTTTCTTTGTAAGTTACCCTGCAGCCTTAGACGCCTTTCTTTCTCTGAGCTCCCTGCATCCCCTGGCGGAAGGCCATGGCCCTCGGGTAGAAGCCTTTGATGCGCCAGGTGCTTGAACTTCGGGTGCCCGTAGGTCCCTTTAAAGGGGTTGTCGGGTCTCTCCAAAAGCCAAGGGCCATCCGTACACCTGAAGGCTCATGATTTAAAGAGACACCCAAGAAGCCCTTGACCTCAAACCCTTTTCCGCATCCCTCATTGGCCCCCCACATCCACAGGCCCGACGGATCTCAGATTGTGGAATGTGGCACAGCACAGCTTCCAAAGGCCCCGACTCATGCGCGTCGCATAGGACCATCTGACAGTTGAACTACTCGCTCCACGGACACATGACATGATTGCACAACTTAGCCGACCTCAAAAGCTGCACATCAAATGTAACGATGCTTTTATTATGTAGAGCCCAAAGAGCTTGAAAACTGGTGTGTAAGCACATTGAAGACGCCTGCCTCCCGATGAAGCATTTGCTCCACAGGGGTAAAGTCTGAAGAGGTAGCAGGACTCGCAGGGTCAGCGACCGATCCTTGGCTGACCGGTCTGTGTCGTTGTCTGGATGATAACACGATTTTTTCATCTATTTCAAATGCCACATGCATGAAAATATCTTTGTTGCGCAGGCGTCCACGCAGCTAAGGTGTCCTGTAACCAACTGAAAAGCACGTCATACTACCTGTGCTAACAACACAAGCCCTGCAATTCGTCATCTGAGCTCTGCTAGTGGCTGCGACATTTTCGTAACCTTTCATGCAGTGGCACGACTATCCAACTGTGAGCGCTCATCTGGTTCTTTTTTTGTTAACTCAAAGCCCCCGAGCACAATGAACCCCCAACCAAACATGATCCAATGCAAGCAGAAACTTGAGACGAGATATCTTCCAACCTTTGGAATGAACAGCCAACATCATTCTAAGAACTGTTTTAAGACAAATGGAAGCTGCAAAGCTGTATGAGCTGGGGCTCATAATTGTGGTCTCCAGACGTATGCACTCGCAAAACCCACCTTTTGATGGGAACCGCCCCGGAACCTTAAACTCTAAACCCCATACCCTAAACCCTAAACCCTTGAAGTCCCATCTAAGCCAGGAGCGGCTCGAGATCAGGGCTTCTTTGAAGGCACCGCTCAAGTCGCCTGGGCAGCTACTGAAAGAACAAAACATCAGTAGCCCGTAATCGATTTCGTGTATAAATGGGGATGTCCCAAAATTTAGTCTGTAGAGTAAGGACCATAGTATCATGGGGTCTATATTGGGGTCCCCCAAGTTATATAAATGACTCAGAACTATTCATGTAGGAGTTTCCGCTTCGATGGGCTGCCTTTACTTCCCAGTTAAAACCCATAATACCAAAAATTGCTCCTCACGAAAAGTGTAGGGAGCTCAGATCCTAACGGCCTATAAAGCAGTTAGGCTCCTTAACTGCAATCCGGTCGCCATCAAAAGGCTCAAGGTCTGCCAACATGAGGAAATCCTGCGATTTAGGGTTTATAGTCCCCCTTAAGTAGATAGAATATGGCTTTGACCCACAACCAGAATAAGATCCCCATATACCCCATATCCTATCTACTTTCTATCTACTTTAGGGGGACTTTAGGGTGTATAGGCTTGCTTTGCTGGTGCAAGGCTAGGATTTGCGTCTCAGGTTATGGACCCTTAATCCTGGGATCCTTATATAAATACCTATTATCATACCTTGTGAAAACCATGTAAGCTCAAGTAGTGAAGAGCCAGGGAGACTAGTAGGGGCCCGTGTTAGGGGGCCATGGCTAGGACATGTCAGGACCCTAGATTTACCAATGAAAGTTTAGGGCTGTGGGGTCTGGTAGGCTTAGGGAATCCCAAACTAGCCACGTGGGGGATCCTCAAGTATAGGCCTGGTATTGAAAGAGCATCCTGGCTATAGGTGCCATCAATGCCAAGGCCAACATCATCAGCACTACTGGCACCATCATTTCAACTGTTTCGACTTCTGGTGGCGTCGCGCATCGGTCTTGCAGCTGCATGTTGCTGCTCATGAAAACGTTAAAGATCCTACATTAAGGAAATGACGCCCCTTGACGGATTTTGCACGATTTCTTGTACACACTCCTGAGCCCTAAGCCCTGCGACTACGCCCTAAACCCTTTGCACCCAGGCCTCTATAACCCCTAAACGCCCAACCCTACATTGCCGAACTTAAAATCCCCGAAGCCCTTTGTGCAAGACCCCCACACCTTAGGTGGACCCCCCACCCNNNNGGGTCCTCCTAAACCCTAAACCCTACACCCCAAAACCCCAAAACCTGCTGGGAGGCCTCTACTTCGCCGCCGCAGGGCCTCGAACGGCTACTGCTCACAGTTTGCATAGGGTTTAGGGTTCTCGTTCAGGGTTTAGGGTTTAGGATTTAGGATTTAGGGTTTAGGGTTTAGTGCTTGATTTCAGGGCTTTAAGTTGCTTTAGCTTTGAAGGGTATAAATGGGGGTTTCCCAAAATTAGGGGTACCGTTTTGGGGGTCCCTATAATAAGGACTACAGTATATTGGGGTCTATATTGGGGTACCCCTTATTTTGGGAAACTACCATATAGATTTGGGGGGCTTGTTGTTTAGGATAAGGGTAGTAGGATCAGGATTGGAGTAGTATTGAATGTCTTCAAAATGAGGTCCGGGATGCAGACAACATGTGCACATCATGTGAACCAGGGTCCTTCACTGTTCTCAGGCTACCTAGCTTAACAACACAAGCTGGCACTCTCTTTTTGTCAGGACCAGGGGGCCACAGAAGGCAGGCGGCGGCCCCTGCCCCCGTTCAAGCCTCCCTACCCGGGCTCAGCATGAAACGTATCAGGCAGGGCCCTACGCAAGACCGTTGTGGGCCACGCAGGCCTAGCCACTAGTAGCGAAATCAGAGGGATGACGGTAATTGGGTTGGTCACTACATGTTCGTAATTCCACCATCAATTTTCGGGCTTAAGCGTTAAGGATTTCGGGCTTTCGGTCTCTCGGTGGGGCCCTCAAAGAGACCCGATTTTGAAAGGTCCCGGTTTGTCTCTCAACCCCTTACCGTGAAAAATTTAACTGGGTGGGGAGCCTGAAGGGAGGAGGTTTACAGGAACAAGTACAGTCCCACTTCAGTAGATAGAATATGGTTTTGGGTAGATTATAATAAGATCCCCCTATATCCCATATTCTATCTACTTAAGGGGGACTATATCCCCCAAACCCTAAACCCTAAATAGTAGTTTCCATTTTCTTTTCCATTATCCCTCTATAATCCCTATATAATGCTTATATAATCCCTATATGTACTTAAGGGGGACTATGAGCCTAGCGCTAGGGTTTGAGATCAAAGGGCTTGGGGCGGGGAATAGAGAATGAAGACACTGAAATACAAACTGGGTGGGGATTTAGAGGGATAGGCAGGGTTTCGGACAATCTTATAGGTGGTGAGTACGGAATGGAGGACTGGATTCCCGTAGTTATGATCCCCAACCATCTAATAACTAGTCTCCGTTCTGTGGTCCATTCCTTCGCTGCCTAGACGCTGCGATAGACGCGAGGCCCTAAACCCGAAACCATCCTCTTTTCTATTCCTTTATTCCAAAAAACAACCCGCAACTTGCGACATGGGCATGGCGAAAGGGAACCGCATGCACTTTTCTCTTGGCAACATGCATGACTTCGAGTCACTGGCTGTCCCAACCTGGGAGGTGGGTGTTTCTAGAAGAGGGGTCCCCCTTTGATGTAACTTGCATGCCCTTGAAGCACTATCATCCTTGACCCCAAACCCTAAACCCTAAGCCCTTACTGCAGTCGGACCCCCCATAGGAGCTCGAGAGCCCCCAGGTGTCTGCCATCAATTTCATTGAAGCAGATGTTCAGCCTTGAGGTGAAACAAACATGAAACATCATTCAACCAAACTACAGGTTTAGGGTTGAAGCGCAAGTTTAGGGTTTAGGTGGAACCAAACTACGTCAATAGGCTGTATTTCACCAAACCCTACATACCCTACGTAGTCCCAGCTCCCATCTCATATTCCACGTTCTTTCCATTTGAGTCTCCATATAACCTTAATCTCACACCCCATACATGCCTGCATAAAGCCTCTATATGCCTGTATGTCCCTATCATATTGAACCTATTAAAACCATAATTCACAGACCTGGAAACATCAGCGGAAGCTAGTAATCTTGAGAGATTTGTGCATCTCCTGACTGTTCCAAAGGTCATCCGACTTCCACTTCATAGAACGCCTTAGCAGACGCTCTGGTGGTTTTAGGGCTTGGGTCAAACCCTAAACCCTAAACCCTTAAACCCTAAACCCTTTGGGTCATCCATGTGATTTCCGCTTTACAGAACGCCTGAGCAGACGCTCTCGCGGTTTAGGGCTTGTAGTCTCCCTTAGGTAGATAGAATATGGTTTTGGGTATATCATAATAAGATCCCCATATACCCCATTCTATCTACTTAAGGGGGACTATAGATCATCTGATTTTTCTTTCGGGGAACGCGACTCGCGGAGCCCTACCTATCGCTTCTAGAGCCCACGCCTACTCTGCCCTCGTCATCCATCTCCATTTGGCAACAACCCTTTCCCCTCTCCAAATGTCGCTCGCAGGCAACATGTTTTTTTGGCGGGTTTGGGCTGTTTCATGGTTCAGGGAGAACTCTATGAACCCTTTACCGCGCAAACTTAATCGCTTCCCTCTAATATAAAAGACAGGTTCCCCAGAATTCCAAATTCTGGAATCTGCCCCAACCCTATTTTGAAAAGGCCAACACTAAAGCTGATTACTGCTCGGATCCTCTGAATTAGGGGGGTCCCAGGCACGGCTCGTAAGCATTAAGGATCTCCTTCATTTCCTAGATTTTGATTGTTTATGAAAGACTTCTATACAGGAATTTACATCAAATCTGAACGCCGTGTTCATTGGGTTTGTTTCGATTTCATTCGTTTTTAGTTAGAATCTAATCAGATTTCGACTAGATTTGAAAAATAGGTTTGAATACGCTTTTAAATTGATGAATACGCTTTTAAATTGATTTTGAACGGTTTTGTTCGATTTGGATTAGATTTGAATCGTCTTTTATGCTAATTCCGTTTTGAACTGATTTTTATTGCGAGTTTAATCGGATTTAAACGGCTCTTATTTGTTTTTTCTACGATTTCGGTTAGATTTTAAATGTGTTTTAACTGGTTTGAATGCGTGAATACGTTTTACATTGATTTCGAATAGTTTATTAGATTGTAATGAGACTTCAAAAGGCTTTCAATTCCACTTTCATTGATTTTATCACGACTTCATTAGAGTTAAATGGCTTTT